CAAACGGAGTAATGTCAAGCCCTAGAATTGCAAATTTTGTGGAAGATAAATGCTGTATAAATCTTAAAAAGGGACATATCATTTTAAAATTTAACCATCCTCCTATGGAACTTGAAAACTCCATTTTCCTGAATGATTTAACTTTCTCCCCACCAAAAAAATGTTAAAAAAAAAAGTAGGGTGTGAAATGCAGAGTTTCCATTTGGCCCTAGACACAGCTGTATCCGCAGCCAGTATCACCCACTTTTTTTGCTTATACCTGCTTACTATGGAGGTAGCAGAAATTGCAGGCATTTTCAGTTTTCTTACGGTAAAGGAAAAATAATCTAGGTATGCCCTACACCTGAAGAATATTGCCTCTAAAATGCTTGACTTCTGTGTAACACTCCTGCCTTGGCACACAGTGCGGCTCAGCAGATCAAAGGAAGAACAAGATTCAGCAGTATAACCCTGCGTGTTTCTGTAACGTTCAAAAAGAATATGAGAAAAAGGGACTTTAGCAGGTTTACCTATGTAGAGAAGGCGCCAGCACAGCGACCTTTTCATGTAGAAAACTGGAAATCTCAACAAGTACAGGGCTTGCAAATACCATGTCTCTCCTATAAATACAGAGACTGGGGGACAAGAGGAAGCACTCATTTTTGCCTTGTACCTGGCATAGATCTCTCTCAGATGTCCCTCCAATTATTTTCAAAGATGGATGTCCCTTCTCTCCAGGGAAGAAATAAGGAAGCCTGAATTGCCACAGAGCATAAATCAGCCACCGGCTAAAGGAAGCAGAGGATATCTCGCCAACGTATGCCAACAGTAAAAAGTCCAGACCGTGTGGCTACATGCACCGTGTTCATGGTGCATGGCTGTTTCTGAACTTGAGGGCAAACTAGAAAACGCATATTGGCTCACGTTACGGTGACCCAGCAGAAACACTCTTCGGTGGTGTTAGCACCGGGTTCTTACAGTGACTTGCCTCCTTCCACCCAGGACAGAAAGCTTCCTGGGCCTGAAGCACTCGGCTGGCACAAAGCACCGGGTTTCCAGCCACCAGCAAGAGTCTTCTTCCACTCATCCCAGGGTTTGCTTACTGTTCACCCTGCAACTTGGGCTGCTCTTTCTTTTCAAGTTCGGTGCTGCCCGCCACATTCACTCTTAAGTTCTCAAATTCAAAGCAAATGAGGTTTTTGCTTGAAAAGGCATTCCCCAGAGAGCTAATATTTAGGGTAAGCAGTGATACTGGTTGGGCCAACTAAAATAAACCTTCTTAAACTTCTCAAACAAACAAAGCTCTTTGAATAATGCCACAAACTGGCAAGTTAGAGATCAGCATAAGAATCTGTAGCAATTAGTAGCTCTTACCTCACACAGGATGTGTTCCGGAAGGGCTGGACACAGCTACTGGTTGCCTAAATTGGAAAAAAAAATTAGCAAAATTACTTTTTAGAAGAAAAGTCAGAAATAAAGAAAAAAAATCATCTTCCTTTGAGAAGACGCATGGCAACACATTCTCCTTTGTATTTCTAACCCGAAGAGTCGCCGGGAAATAGCCAAGATGGTCTGCATATTTCTCCAAATGTCTGTTTATCATATAACGTTAGCCCTGGCAGTCGATCCGGCTCCCTCATTATCAAGCTGTATTAGCTCAAACTCTCAGCATTGTTCGGGGGGGGGGTGAGCTCATGGCCTATTTCAGTTTTAAATGAACATTTGGCAATCACCCGGGTAATCAAAACAAATGATTCAGTCGTTTAGAATACATTTATTAGTTGAGACTTTTTTCCTTTCTCTTTTAAAATCTTTAGAATATTTTGCCACAGGAGGGCTCTGATCCAGCCAGAGTATAGAGCACAAGTCACCAGAGGAATATTTAGGTGTTGTCATGGAGATGAAGTACCCTGTGACCACTGAAGTTATCTCCCACCAACAGCAGGATTAGGATGCAGACTAGATCGCAGGCTCTTCCCAATGAGAATGGTGCCCTGGTCCTAGGAAACAGGTGTCTCCCTTCTGGTCTACCCATGATAGACATGCACAACACAATGTCCTCCTGGCATACAGGCAGCTGCCCCACCATCCCATACGCATCCCCTGGTACCTTCTATCACTTGTAAAGGGAACCTGATAAATGACAACTCTCCCTGAGCAGGATCCTGTTTGGGTTTTGTTTATCTGAGAAAGGACCTCACTGTGTAATCCTTACTAGCCTCAAATTCAGGATCACCCTGCTTCCACCTCCCCCACTGTTGGCATCACAGGTATGTGTCACCACAATCGGCTGCCAACTGTTTTGTTCCCACACCCAGAACAGGCTCTCAGGAAGTTGCAATGGGACAAACATAAAGCAGGGGTTGCAATCAGGCTTGAAATCCCTCCTGTGCTCCCACAACCACTTCCAGGCTGATTATCAAACAAGCAGTAACTACAGATGTCATTTTTTGTGTGCCAGACAAGAGCTGGTGCACTTAGTTCTATATGCTAATATAGACATGTATAGATCTGTCTGTTTACGAGATCTTAATGATGACTGGCACAGTTAAGGACAACTATGAAGTCCAAATGGACACACTGTTAACTTAAAAGAACAGGGTTCTCGTTGGCCAACTCAAAAGCAAGGTCAATCTGTCTCAGTGGTAAAGAACTAACGTTCGAAGAGAGTTGTTTAGAAGTGAACTCAGGTCAGGTGGTGGTGGCGCACGCCTTTAATCCCAGCACTCGGGAGACAGAGGCAGGCAGATTCTGTGAGTTCGAGACCAGCCTGGTCTACAAAGTTGAGTTCCAGGGAAATCACAGCTGTTACACAGAGAAACCCTGTCTCAAAAACAAAACGAAACAAAAAACAACTCAGGGACTACCCTTTACTCCTCTTCCCACCTGCACAAGAGAAAATATTGCATTATTTATTTCATGTTTGTGCTAACGGACTCTGATATTTCATAATGGCAGGCACAAAAAACCGTTCTTTCTTATTTTTACCTAGGTTGTATAGCATGCATATACAAAAAAAAAAATCTCATCCTTCACCCGCACTTGAAACTTGCTGTTTCTAGAAGGTACCACACCCTTTCATACAGCTGCGAAAGACTAGAGCATGTCACTGCTGTTTACAGACAGGTTGCCAGATTCAGACATGCTGAGGTGAAACACTGGCTCTCCCTTCCATTAGCTGCCCAACCTCTCTCAACTTCCTAACAGTAAGCAGCCTCCCAAAGGCAAACAATCAAATGAGCATGACACACACACAGATCTTCTTCACAGAACATTAGATACACAGCCGTCACTTCTTACATACAGCAGACAAGCAGCTAAAATTCTATCAACTGGGGGAACAATTTATTATACTCCCACAAATACTTGATACCAAATATATTCTTCTTTTAGATTCGGCCCAACTTTAATTTCAAACTTGAACTCCTCACACTCTAGTTTCAATATCCTATTTTATCTCACCCTTCCAGAACTGATTATTCCTGGAGACAGATGCAATTTATACGGGGTTCTACTCAAAAGGAATCTGGTTCTCCACTTAAAAGAGTCAAGTAGCTTCCCTCCTAAGATTTTGGCCTTACAAATGCCTTCTCGCTACCTGTACAATTTCTTGCTGCGTAGGGAGGGGCTGCCAGTTACACGATGCCGAAGACCTTCTATTAAACAGACCAGGACACTGGCTATCCATTTCAGAAGTCCTTACATCTCCTGTTCCCTGACACCCTCCAGAGGGCAGAAGAGAGAAAGACTCAGACTGAAGAAGCAAAAGCTCATATACTGGGGTTCCACTGAGCCCAATGGAGCTATCTTCCATGTTTCAGTTTTTCCATCAGTAACAAAGAGAAAGATTACAGTGAGACTTGACCTACACTTGCCTTTTCACTTTCTTCTCTGCACTAGTTCCACTTAACATTAGTTGGGCGCCTGAGGATAAAGATACAGTAGGCGTTATCTGTGTGCAGATTTCAACATGTAGAATAGAACTCTGGCTTTGAGCAGACATAAAGCAGACCGTGTCAACAATATTGTGCGAAACAAAGACTGAAAACTGAACGACAGTCAAGCCCTAGGAGCATCTGATGACAGCAAAGTAACCTTAAAACTGAAATACTTTAGGGTCAGTTATACTTTCAAAGAAATCATGCCAATCTTACCCTATTCTGACCAATTTATACGTCAAACTAGAAATGCCATTTTGTTGTTCTGGAATAAGCCAGACATTTCATCTTTGAGACATTTAAGACACTTCAGGTTTAATCAAAGTATTCTGCTCAGAGACAACGATGACCCTATCATTACTTCCAGCCAAGCTGAAAGGATCCCCAAGTTGCTAATCAATTGAGTGAATTAAGTGAAAAACCAAAAAGCAGAGACAACAGCTGTTTAAATGCACTTAAATGACCAGTTGAATCAATCAAAATGGATGATCTCCACGGGTTCATTGTTTCCTTTCAGTTGCTTTGGATGTGATTGTCATGGCAACCACCCCTTAATCATGTTCTTCAGGATACTTTCTTCCACCAAAAAAAAAAAAAAAAAATCGAGGATGGAATAAACGCTAAGTATTCCCTTAATTAGAAACATCTGTGACGGTAACCAATAGGTTCAGACTTCCCATTCGCCTTGTTACTATTCCCCTACTTGTATTAATATGTGAGTCTGAAGCACTAGCATATGTACCGTTCAAAACTTATTTTCAACGTTACCATGAAATGCAATAATAAGTATAGCTGAAATGTCCGCTGGCTCCTTTCCTCTAGAGGAACCGACAACAATTTACTCACAATAAATGGTTCAGATAATAGATGCCTTATTTTAATAATTTCAGCATAACACCTGCAACATAACTATTCAGTAAAACATTAATTAAATAAGTCATTTAAAGTATACTTTCAGTCATTTAAATGTAACACAGTCTGTTTTGTTAAATAAGGTTAGGTATAAAGTATATTTGGTAATATACTCGTACTCAGGAAAAATCATTAATTACGTACAGGTTTCTACACTTATTTAGTTCTTTTAGAAATATGGAGCACGTCACAAATTTGCATACCATCATCATGGATGGCCATGCCAATCTTCTCTGTACCGTCTCAGTATTACTGCGCATGCCATCTAATTGAGCATGTGTTTTAGTTTGGGGGTGGGAGGAGGTGTGCTCACTTGTTAGTGTGCACATGCAAGTTACTACTTGGTGCCTTCCTTAGTCATTCTCTGCTTTAAATCTTTGAGACAGAGTCTCTCACTGAACTCGGAGCTCACCAACTGGCTAGAGCGGCTAGCCTGCAAGACCCAAGGATCCTCCTGCCTCCATTCTCCACAGCACTGGGACTACAGGCAGGCAGCCTTACAAAGAGTGTTTACATGGGCTCTGGAGATCTGAACTTGGGCCATCATACTAGTGTGGCAAGAACTTTATCCACTGAGCCATCTCCTCAATCCTTCTACACTTATTTTTCACAGGCTTCTTCACTATTTGGAGATAAGCGTCACTATACGGTTTTAGGAAAGATCCGTTCTTTTCTTTAAAGGCATCTGTTGTATGGGCTACACATTTAAAGTTGCAATCAGTCCACATTTTTCCACAGATTCCATTTCATTCAAAAACTAAAAAGTGCACAGATGTCCCACAGTTGGAGCAATGGGTCATTTGTAAGCTTTGGTAGGTTTTAAAGCCAGTTAAGAAGCCTTTCCTCTAAAGCAAAGGTGGAAGAATGAGAAATGCGCCTCGCCCTTCCTCACTCCAAGGCACTCTTGCCATGGCCACAGCTTCACACAAGTTTCAGGGACCGCTGGCCAAAAGGAAGAAGAAAATGTATTTGTCCACTTTTTACTGAAATGTTAAAATATTAATAATATTTACAAATTCCAAGCACCATTTAAAATAGACTGGAGACCAGACCTATTAGGCACTAGGGGAAATGCCTACAGAAGCACAAGCAAACAGCGAGCCCAGCATGGGAAATGGAGCAACAAATATTTGCTACCAGTAAAAGGTAAGCCCTTGACGCTCTTGTCCTTTGCCCTGGTGTTCAATGATATTTGTGTTGTGCTTTAAAAATAAGAAGATTGGTGTGCTTTCAATGATGATTACAGTGGATTCCAAATAAAACAAATGCTGAAATAAAAATTCACTTAATTGACTGAAAGGCTTGAATTAGTCATTGCCAAGTTTACAACTTTCCCATAACTCCAAGCATTCTTTCATATTAAAAAAAAAAACAGCATTTCCCCCTCTAACATGAGGAGTATGGGTAATTTTTCGTGCAAGTATAATTTCTATTTTCATAGAACTCTCTGTAGCCCACTCCCCAAACTCAAGCTAAATAAAAAGCATGAAGGACAAGAGGACTGGATAGAGCCCAGTGACAATTTGAACAGCTGCATTGGAGCATTGGTCCTCCTCAAATTCAGAGACCAATTCCTGCACCAAAGTCTACCACCACTAAACCTGCCTGTTCTTCATGAACAAGTTTGGACCTTTTTCTCCTTATTTCCACAGTCCTGGTTTCGTCTGCTAACTGCAGCTTCATCACATTAACACACTTTTAAGAATTTTAAAATTTACTTTTTGCCAGGCGGTGGTGATTCCAGAACTTGGGAGGCAGACATAGGCATATCTCTGTGAGTTTAAGGTCAGCCTGGCCTACAGAACAAGTTCCAGAACAGCCAGAGCTACAAAGAGAAATCCTGCCTTGAAAAACCCCTCAAAATATTTTATGTATCTGGGTGTTTTGCCTGCATGTGTGCCTCTGAGCCACCTGTGTACCTAATTCCAGGCCAAAAAAAATGTCAGCGCCCCTGGCACTGGATTTACAGGTGGTTGTGAACCCCCATGTAGGTGCTGGAAATCTAACTCAGTTTCTTTAAGTTCACTCAGTGTTCTTAACCACTGAACCATTTCTCCAGCTGCTTATCAGCCCAACGTGTGGACAACTGCATCCACAGAAAACCTGAGAGAGCTTGGGAAGTAATTCTAGACACAAAATAACAGTGTTAAGCATGGCTTCTTCATAGCAGCAATTTCTCAAGTTTGCTCTGTGCATCTCATTTAAGAGAGGCTGCCTGGCTCAGCGTTAGCTGCAAAGACCTTGCTGCTCTTTTATGAGGCCCCACCACCAAACACTTGAATGGTGTTTATGAGTAGCTGATAGCACGCTTTTTGGTGGTGGCAAGGACCTTGAAACAGCATAGAGTTGTGGCAATAAACACGGCTCTGGCCAGTACCTCCAACACGAGGCTAGACTCTCAGGAAGCTAAGGAATGGGGTGGATCCAGCGGTCAAAGTCCCAGTTTTAATCCTAGCCATATCGCTTAGCAAATTAAAGATTCATGTGGTCAGAAAAAGAGAGATATACAGTGAAGATAGATTCATACAAAAAAAAAAAAAACTCTAAACAGTTTAGAGTGTGTTTAAAAATATATGTAGGCTTGGGAGTGAAAAGAAAAAGGATAACATCCTTAAAATAAAAAAGAGAGTAGTTAGGTGTGGTGGCACACACCTTTAATCCCAGCACTCAGGAGGCAGACAGGTGGATCTCTGAGTTTGAGGCCAGCCTGGTCTACAAAGCGAGTTCCAAGACAGCCAAGACTGTTGCACAAAGACCTATCTCAAGAAAGAAAGAAAGGAGGGAGGGAGGCAAGGGAGGCGAGGGAGGGAGGGAGGGAGGGAGAAGAACAAAAAAAAAGGAAGAGGAAAAAAAGAGAAAAAAGAAAACCACTGCTTTAAGGGATTAGATTAGAGCCCAGAGGCTCCTCCCTCCTAGAAGAAATGAAGGCCCTTAGGAAAGTGGTTCCACTGCAGTGTTAAGCCCTCTGGCCTTTCTGCCCTTCCCCATATGTAGTGCCTTTTCCACTGAGCACACCTTCCTAGTGTTCCACATGTGCTGGAAGCCCCAGTAGTAGGGGGCTTGATGACCACTTCAGACTGCACACTAGGCAAGGACACCCTCATGACCTTCCCTTTCTCTCTCCTCTCTCAGCTCTCCTGACCTTCCCTGTGCAAGAGTGTGAATATTTCCATAGTCTCTGAAATCCATTTTTAGTGTAAGTAACAAGACAACATCAAGAGGTAAGGTCCTGAGGTGACTTAATCAAGGAGAATGAAACCCTGGTTAGTCGGATTAGGTTCCCTTACAAAATGGCTGACAGAGGTCATCTCTAGGCCTTTCACCTTCCTTCAGGTGAAGATACATACACACTCCCTTCGTTCCAGAAAATGTGGCATCAAGGTGCCATGCTGTAAAGAGCAAGCAGTATTCGCCAGGCCAAGCTGTGCTGGCACCTTCATTTATCTCAAGGCTGTCACACTTTTGGTGGATAGCAGAATTACCCTTGTTCTAACACAGGTGGCAAGGCCCCATCCCCAGCTCCCTGATTCAGTCAGCTCATGAACCTGAATTTCTAGAATCTGTACTCTGGGTCCAAGGACCCCACATGATGATTATATGATATACAGAGATGTACCATAAAACAATAAGTATATCCATAGACTGAACATCATTCACTTAAATCTGGTTTTGTTTTTTGTTTTGGTTTTTTTTTTTTAAAGTTTTTTTGTTTTGTTATGTTTTTGAGGTAGGGTCTTGTCAATGGAGCTTTGGCTGCCCTGGAACTCACTATATAGACCATAGGCAGATTTGCCAACCTCTGCCTGAGAGCTGGGATGAAAAGGCATGCATGACCACACCCAGCCCATTCCTTGAAATCTTAAAACTACTGGTATTTAAGAGTTATGATTTTGCCAAGATTTTGGAATATTTGTGTAGACTTCACCACTCAAGAATCCTTAATTTGAAATATGAAATATCCCAAAACCAGGGCATTTAGGGATGTTTAACCTTGTATGTCTCATTTAGACAAAAGAAAATGGAACATCTTTTTGAAACATCCACAAATATCTTAAGATGATCCAGCGAAACTGTCTTTTTATAAACTGGAGGAATTATTTTCTCAGAGAATCAAATGGTCCTCTGGGTAGGGTTCAAATTCCTGACTCTTTGCACTCCCTGCCCTGCCCTGCCCTGCCCAGTTCAATACTCTTTCTGGCACAGCTTTGCCGCACTGCTCACAGCATCTCCAATAAAAATGAGCATTCCTTGCTCGGAGAGATTGATTTTCCCAGTCTCCGTAATAACAGCAACCTATGCGTGTGTTCTAGAGTGAGCACTGAATAAGCACGTGTTGATTTCGCTGTATGAAGTACTCAGACCCATACTTGTCAGAAGTTGGGATTTGCGAGTTGCATACTGGCAAACAGGCCGCTCCACTGCAATCAACGAGTCGCAAGGTCAATCACATCCACGTGGGTGCTGCCATTATCTCCAATAGGAGCAATGACAGACACAATAAAGACAAATGTATGAGGGTCTGAAACATGGCAGGGACGGTAAAACTGAGTTCACAATGGGACACAATTTTGCATTCAAATTCCATGTCAGAAAACGTTTACAGAGTGCCTAGCATTTTAATCGGAAGAGACCATGACAGCAGTAAAGTTCTGAGTGCTAGAAAAGTATAACGTGCAATGTTCGGGTAGTTGTGGTACACCCACCAAGCTTCTGTTCATGCAGGCGTCCTCCCTGTTCTTTAACAGACAATCCCCAAATAACCACAGGAGGATAAAGAGGGCAAGAAGAAGCAAGTGAGTAAACATCAAGGGGACAAGAAGATGCTGTCACATACCTGCCCTGGAGCCACTGCCACTGTCCTCCCCAGTACTTCCGGGTAAAGCTGACCCTCCCTATCCACGGGTTGCACATACAGATTCAACCGAATTTGCATGGAAAATATGGAGAATAAGACATTACATGCATGTGGAGTATGTAGATTTTGCTCATGTAATTATTCCAAACAATGTACAATAGGCAGGGAGCACTTTATTACCTTAGGCATTGTGAAAAATATAAAGATGGTTTAAAATATACAGAAGCATATGCATAGGTCATATGCATGTATATACTCCATTTTATATAAAGGATTGGGTATTGTAGATTCTTGCATTCGAGGGGTAGGGTCCTGGAACTGAACTTTGAACATCTACATTTGCCACACTGATGGGACAATATTAATACATTATTATGAACTAAAATCTATCTTATTGACTATAATTTGCACTAGGGTTCATG